ACCATTTTCTTAAGTTTAATTTTTTGCATTTCACTCCCCCAGGTTAAGATATTTTTCGTAGAAAAAGGAATCCGAAATTTTTCGGATTCGAAAATGTGATGGAAAGAGGAATCAGAAATATTGTTACTTTCGTAAAACTTTAAATTGCATCTAAAATTTTCGGGACAATAGTACTCTGAAGCCCTCACCTTGCAATTTCGAAAAGACCCAAGTTGCCCTAGAATGGCCGAACAGATACAAATTTTACAGCGCCGCCTAAAATGCATTTCTAGAGATCAAAAAGTACTCTGGGTAGCCTAAAGATTGTTTTCAATGCATTTCACAAAAACCGTCTTTGGTTGCCTCTGAACTGATAGCTCGAGTGGGTGATTTAATAAGATAAGGGAGCCCATTTGGTGTTGACTCGACACTGTGCATGTGTGCATTTCAGACTTCCTTTCCCATTCTTTCGATTCGAGGACACATCCCTTCGCAGTTTTATTTTATTATAATATGGGCTTGCTAAGGTGATGAAATAAATATATTGGGGCAAGTCTCACTAATAAGGAATCGAAATTTCGCATTAACATCAAAATGCAGCTATTTGCAGGTCAGTAGTAGGAATTCAAAAGTGGACTGATCCATATGCACTTATCAGACTAACAGACTATTGAGTTGCTTACTTTCGAGAACATTAAAAGACATATCTTTCTCCAGCTGGAAAGGAATTGCAGACTTACTTTCAACCGCTGGCCGGATTACAAAATGAAAAAAAAAAAGCACCCAGAGATGGAAGCCAAGATGTGAGCAATTATAACACGGCACTTAACAGTTAGCCTGTATACCGCCGTCCCCACTCCTCGAAAAAAAATAGGAGAAGGGGTACAGTAGACGCATTTAAAAACAAACTCCCAAGCGCGCAAAGGCATTTGGGTGAACATGGGTTTATGAAGAGTTCTAGGCCCATGGCTTATTGGATGAGCCTACCAATTCTCAAAGAGGTAATGACTTTAGGCAGAATCCTATGACCCTGCAGGGGACGGGCTATCCGGATTCGAAGCATTTATAGGTATTTATAAAATAACTGAGATAGTACGGGTGATCTGATTGGTCAAAAACCTATGGTTTATTATACCGGTAAACCCATAGAAAAAGGCATCCGGACCACGAGCCATAAATAAAACCGGCTATTGATCTGCAAACAATGATTTTAGAAAGGCTAAAAAACAGAACAAGTTACTTACCCAGCCCTTCTTAATATCAAAAGCGTTGGTTTCCATATTTTATTACTGCCATAGCCTTAGAAGTAATAAAGTACAAAGCTGGAAAGCAGTTTACATTTCACGACGATGCCAAATCGCCTTCGGCTCGTGATTTACAAGCTTTTCTCGTGTTCTCCCAACATCCCGCGTGGGTTATCACGCCGGTAAACCCATAGAAAGTGTGGTCTATTGCTTAAATTTCCTACAATGGGGTGTAACAAAAACGTAACTAGTAAAAATCTAAACTCGCCACGGGAACTTACTAATTCGATCTGCATTGGCTTTTCGCCACTTACGCAGCCGATATGCTTCTGGTAATTTATCACGAATGTATACAGCAGTTGTAAAACCTTGTAACTGCAACCATGCAAAACTGTTCCCCTTCTTGCGCCCAAAGCGTTCAGTTTTGTAACGGTGACTGGAGGACCACTTTGGCGGCATCCTCTGCTGAAATCTTAAAGAGCGTCTCTGGTGTGGGGCTGAAGAGATCAGAGAGATCGCATCTTCTTGGGCTTCTCGCGTGCGCGCGCGCTGCATGAGCGTACAATGGAGTCTGGTGGCCGTGACATGATAATGATGATTTGTAATTGTCTTGTGATTGATAGCCATATGGCAGCTACTCGGATAGGGAAATAGATTGTGAGCAATCTCCTATTTTTCGGATCAGTTCGTTAAAACAAGTCAGATTCATAACTACAGAACAAGATCTGTCTCTCTAGCGACTCGTTTTATGTTAAGTTCTCTAGAAACGATAAAATGTGTGCCTTTTTCACCAGAATCGGTGGCCAAATTTGGAACTCTATTCCTTATTCGATTAAAATACTTAAACGTTCGTCCTCTCGTAAAAAAAATAAAGGAATTATTACTAAATTTCTTGCGGTCAGAAGATGATTATGTCGAAGTATCCCGTCTTTTATTAAGTTATTTAATACTTTAGGTTAGCCTCTCTTCCTAATCGTTATGTACTTGCCTTGTTTTATGTTAGTTTAAATTCTATTTATTGTATAGTAGGTCTTCACTGTCATTTAGTCCATCTATAAATAAATCTTGTTTTGTAATATGTCTTCAGCTTCCCCCGCCTCCATTAGTTTATAAGCTATTTGCGGGTGGGAAAGTAATTTGATTAGTTATTTTCCAATTTTCAATAAAATTTGTTGTTTGTTTGGTTTTTTGTTGTTTGTTTTTCTCTGTTGATCGTACACTCGCTGCGCACCTGTTAGCTCTCAAATTGCGCTTCTTCTTTACAGGAAACATTTCCGCGAGAAACTCTTTTGGCTTCAAAGGTTCTAACCAAGAATTTTAGTACAGAAATGCACAAACAAGTTTGACTGCCTCGTTTATGAAATGTTTTTTTATTAATGAACTGAGACCAAGTCTCAATGTACAGTCTGACTCGATCGGATCCCCGAACAGATGAAAATTTTTAGGGGATAAAAATATGCCTATATCTACCGTTTAGATCAGTACTAAAATACGTTTAACAATGCTATTTTTAAGTGGTTTTGAACTATGTTCTCGTTGGGTACCTCTTACTCAATTTGTGCTAAGGGTGTTTAAAAATAGTTTCTATCAAGCTGCCAAAGACTGAATAACAAGCTAGACATAAAAAAAAAATTCTTACGAGAAAGTACTATCAAACTGAGAAGTATTGTTTGGAGTAGTTGACCCGATTTACATTTAGGGTTTTAATTACCCTCGTCCCTAATTGATTGAGGGTCAGTAAAGTTTCGATCTTCATCCATTCGGCTGTTTAAATAGGTCTCTGATCTGTTTTCGCGGCATGGGTTACAAAATTAAAACAAAATGGTTTGTCGATTCTCAGATCTAAAGGTAGATTGCTCCAAGCTTTCGGGGTAGAAGGAGGCCCTCCATTTGTTTTAACACTGCGCTGCTTTGCATTTTTAAATAATTGCTTGGATAGTTGACATAGCATGCATGATAAGTGTAATCATTACATTTTGGTTTCTGTTGGCGGCGTCGGAATAATCCGGCTTGTTGCAACTCCTCTTGCAGTATTTTTCGTAACTAAGTTACAGTTCCTAATGAGTAATAAAGTCTGCGTACAAAACGCTTACCGGACTGTTACAAACTAATCGACAGAGTTAAAGAATACCGAAAAGAACAAAGAACAATTAAGATAAATCTCAGCCGTAGGAAGCCAGATAAGGGCATACAAGTCAAAAAACATTGCAAGCCTTTCCTTCTCACCTACAGTAGCTATATCTGTGCAGTGTGGTGTTCAAGAGCTTAGCTTCCTTAGCTTTGTACAGTCTCATACTATAAGGTATGTCAAGGCTTTAAGACAAAGTGGAGTAAGTGTCTCCTAATTAGGGGCTATTAACTTTTAACGAAAACCAGTCAGTGTTATTCTTGTTTTAACTAAGCTGTGAGATCGCAGTTTGCTGGGCTAGGGGTCGCCTTAGATTTCCGGCTGGACACACGGCTGAGTTCATTGAAAGGCTGTGTTGTTTTCGTTCTGTTTTCGTGTCAGAGAATGGTTGCAATTTTCACATAGCCTTAACCGAAAGGAGGTGGCTCTTTCTGTGGCAGGTGACTTGTAAAAAAGGGGATTGGAAATAAATTTGCTGTCTTTGCAGGTAATTATTACCCTACAGTGATATATTCTCGGCAAAGGAGCAGTGGCGAAAATATCCGGATTATGGTTACCTTGCCCTCCGTGCCAAGGTTTGCCGTTGCTAAACTTTTCATTTCAAGAGATCAGGCTGAAGAAGCCATGGCTTATCAAGTTATTTTACTCTTCGACCTGGATCACAATGTTTTTACAATTTAATTTACTAAAACCCAGGAAAAGTGCACTCATGCTCGTATAACTTCCGGCCCCAGGATTTAGTGTTCTAATAATACTATTTGTACCAGAGCAGTTTAAAGCGCTTTAACGAAATTACCAGTAACTGTTTTGTGAGAGCATGACATTCATTTAGTAAAAGGTCTTCTCGTTTGTTTTGTCCATAAAACGCAAGAAAAATAACAGAGAAATGTACTGCATGGTCTTGTTCACTTGAAAGGTCACGCTTTAGAATTAGGTCAGTATTATGACTACAAATTGCACGTTATTCGTTACTTTTTCACAAAAATGGAATGAAATTATTACGTATTACCGTTCATAAACTTAGTAGCTTTAATCTGTAATTACTGTTTAAGATTCCATTCACAAACTACATCTCTCCGCCCGTGGAATCTGAATGGTCACGCTCTGGTTAGCCGGCTCATTCACAAGGTCAAGAGTTATACTCAATTATTTGCCTTCGGCAGAATACACACGGAAGAGAAGCTCAATACGATGCCTTATTCATCTCCATTTTTTCTTTGAAAGCACCTCAAAATATGTTGTTACACTTCATCGTCGTAGACTCAAGTACGCATTACGGGCCTATATTTCCAATATGGTCGGCAAATTCAAAATTGTTAATTAATAATTGTCTAATTCAAAAGTCACGTAATTTTAAAGTGGAGGCCAAAATCAGCGAATTTTTTTTTAACTACACAAGGCAATAGAATTTTATGCGAAACATTAAGTTATTCAAAGCCTTTCCCTTTGAATTTACGCCCCTTTTTGTTTTCAAGTTGACGAGACGCTTATTATACAACTGATTAATATTACCCCGAAGGACAAAGAATTTGTGACACTTTATTAGTATGGATCACAAACACAAAGAGTGTTGACCGCGTTACGGGATTGTTTTCACGGAGCAGAATTATTAAACGTATGCAAATTCACGGCGTCGTTCTGAGCTCGTAATGGGACTTTTTCCGTCGAAATCTAAGGCTAACCAGCAACAGTCGGCGCCTCCTGCGAACGCTGCAACTCAGTCATCTTCGTCCCAAGCGGCAGGAGGAGCTCCGGAGCAAGTAGCAGTCGTCCCCGAACAGAGACAACAAGTCGAACAAGTCCCAACCAGCCCGTAAGTTTGTGTTCCTGATCCTTGTGGCCGTTGTTGTACCATTGTACATTTGTTGTACCTTCCTAGAGGGTACACACTTTAGAAAAGTCTGTTTGAAAGGTTTCGGTCGCCTTATTAATTGGCAAGGCAAAAACTTTCTGGCGAACGCGCGAATGATAAATATCATAGATATTACAAACGTTTTGTCGCGAGCACATGTGTGTCGTAATCTTAAACGTCTAAGAACTATGTGTATATTGCAAGAAATATTAGGGATGTTATGTCTATGATGAACCGACCTTTAATCAGCAAACAATATTAACCCCTCACGGAATTTTGCAATTGATACATAAGCTGGAATAAGGCGATGAAACGGCAAAGTAGAAATTTTCTGTGTAATCTGAGTGGTCATGTTACTTTTATGGGCATCACGTTTTGCCTAAACACATACCAGTTGTCGTTCGTAAATTGTTAAGTTTTGTCTCTTAAAATTACCGTTATTGATTAAGGTAAAAAAACTCTGTTACCCTGTGCATTTTGGTGAAACATTTAGACGATTTATACAATGTCAATGTTTTTAACCTTGATGTTGTTGCTAAGGAGTTATTGTAATGGAAACTTCAGCTTGGTAACCAAATCTGTTTGACTCTTTTGATTGCAAACTTTGGTTGGAAACGCTTCTTATGCAGGCTGAAATGACAACGTGCAAATAAAACATAAGGCGGTAAGGAAAACTGGTCGTATTAAAAGGAAAAAAATCGGTGTTCATGTCTTGTCTACGACCTCATAGTTTTCCATCTTGATATTTAAGGTTCTATTGTTCCTGTTGTCGTATTTTGATACAAATTTAATGTTTGGGTGTTAAAAAATCTTTTTACCGTTGTTTGTTTCATTTAATTAGAACACCGATTCCAAAACAACTTGTGACATTATAAATGCCGCTCTAGCTGTTGTAATGCATCTCAACCTTTCAGAATGCTGTGTTCAGTTGTTGTCGAGTTCTCTCGGCTGATAAGACTTTTGTTATTAACACACCGGTAAATTACATTGATTATTTTGAACTGTTGGTCTTTCAAGTTCTATTATGTAAAAAACAGCAGTTCTCACAGCCTCTGAAGCTGCGCACATAGCAGAATTTTCCTTCTACTCTCCTTTTTGCCGAAAAAAAAAACCCGAAAACTGGTTTAATTCTCAAGTGAATAAAATATCAGATAAGAATAATGTCAACTAGATATTGCCTCAAATCGGCTGACTTCAGCAAATAATTATCGCGTTGCCACTTTTTGGCCCTTTTACTCGAGTAACTTCAAGTACTGAATTATTTAGTATTTAATTTCACGTCGTTAATTCCCTCATTCGTAAAAGCAACCAATGGCAGAATATTGATTGATATGGTAAAGCCATCAGCTGGATCGTGCGCGCGGCAGACAGATTATAATATGCAAATTGCGTAATACTTTTGAGTGAGCGACCGTACCGGCGAACTCGAATAATTCTAGTCGGTGCTCCTGTTTTTCGAAGTGCTGTGGCGTTGACTTTGGAGGTATTCGAAGGTAGGCCTTTCCTGTTAGATTGTCGTGATTATTTGATTCTTAGTTAGATTTAAATTCCAGAGTGGATAAAAACTGGTTATGTTACATATCAGCTTGTATTCGATCGACCATGACTACCTTATTTGCGATTTAAGGCTGTTTATTTCCCCCATTTTTATCGAATGTGTCAACATTTTAAACAGGATGATGTAGAATTGTAATGTTTTCGCCAGAAAGGTTTGTTTCTGATAAAATAAAGGTCGGTGAAAATGTGTGAATTTTCAGCAAATGTCATGATACAAAAGGGCCTGTTGACAGTTCCATCAGACCATAACCTTCACGCAAATCACACAGTTCCAACTGAAAATCTAGCCATCGTAAAGGGATACAATAAGCATCTGGATCGTCGCCGTGTAAAATCAATACATTCTCAATCCACTTAAAAAATTGCGTATTTGTCAGGCGATATAACTGGAATATTTTTTGAAATAAATTGGATCAACCAACAAGGTTAAAATAAGAGATCGAAACTAGAAGTTAACCATACCCTGGTTGCACGCGGAACAACCGTGAATTAGAAACAGGTTGCCACACTCTCGGAGTGCTATAGAACACACCGTGGACTACAGTGAGCCCAATAAGGCAGTACGATGCCGCCCACCCCAGAATACAGCGAGATTTAAAAATATCAGTAATCGGTTCCTTGCTTCTTTCCGCTCCGTTAGGTTATTCTATGTATATTTTTCCGTAACCTGCGATAAAAAGAACGCCTGATCGCAGGTTTCTCCGTGGCCGATTTTGTTGTTGCATGTACCGTGAGTTTACGTCTCAGATGATGTATTCGGACGAAAAATGGTCGAAAATCGACAGCAATAAGCAAAAGAGAGCGAGATTTTAAAGGAAATGGGCCACTATGACAATTACATCCCATATCAAGTTTCAATAATTCTGGACTGGAGAGTCCAACATATGCCATTTTAAGGTCGCGCGATGTTTAACTGATATTTCATTGCGCTAAGAGGCTGATTTGTCGATCGACGTCACATCGTGACACGTCTGTTGTGAGGGTTTTCGAATGCCTTAAATCTACCGACAAAGCTTGCACTTTAATTATTTGCACACATGTTATATATGCAAATATGGTTTTTGTCAACCATTGCCGTAAAAAGATTTTAAAAATAAAATACTGTCTGAGCCCGTTATCCGGTTTCCGGTCACCTCGCCAACAAACCATCTTGCCACCAACGAAAATACTTATCCAAAGGACAAGTCTCCAAAAGATCGAAAGACTTGCGCCCTCCCATCTAAATAGCTACATAGTTATAATACCAGATTCAGGGAAAATCTAGACGTTCCTATGTGCACGACAGCCACTGCACAACTAGCTTGCGTGGCAGGCGTTCGAAAGGGAAGGGAAGGGAAAGGGAATTAGGGCGCGCCCCTCGCGTTTCTCTCGCGCCTAAAACTCCCTTTCCCTTCCCTTTCAAACGCCTGCCACGCAGGCTACTGCACAACGTTCCTTTCACGATCGGTCTATCAACACTTGGAACTCGCTAAGCGCAAGCGCAAGAAATAGTAAAACGCTCGCTAGCTTTAAGCGCGGTGCAAAGTTGGAGCTATGTCACACCGAAAAGTAGGTGACTGATTGCATGACTAAAACAGTTTTTATATGTCATAGTTACAGCATTTTTAAGTCAATAATAACTATACGTATATGTATATAGTATATACGATATACTATCGTAGCTATTTCCTAATTTAATTATATTCCTATTTTTCCATTTATATTTAACAATTAGATTTGTAAATTAGTCTTTTTCTCCTTCTTCTTTCATTGTTCCATTTTGTAAATTAAATCGGAAGAGCCACGTAGTGGAGATTTAATAAAGATACTGTACTGTACTGTACAGATTTGTGTTTGGGCTTGAAGAAGAAGTAAAAATCTTAGATAAGTAATCCTCGGTAAGTAAGCTGTGTCGATTATTGCAGAGTTATTATGTGGTGGCGAGTAGATTTATTGGTGGCGATTTTGTTGGTGGCGAGATGACCGTAAACCTGGTTATCCATCCCTCAGCCCCACGAACATGGGATGCTTGAAACGTCAAGTTTATCTTTATATGGTGCCTAATTTATTAAATCAACACTACATGAAAGCCTATTTCATAATTGAGGTTATCATTCGATGCACTTTTTTCTTCCTTTTTATTGGCCAAGAGCCCACCACGTGGCCTGCAAATAATTGCCTACAAATAATGGTCTGCTCATGCGCAACGTCATCCAACTGTGTTTGGCTGCAAATAATATTCTGCTCATGCGCAAATGAAAGCACGCTTTTCTCCTTCTTGCGATCCCGAAGATATTTATCAAAATATGTACTCGGTAACTGAATGATAAAACAATTATTGAACTCGGTGGATAACATTGCGCATGAGCAGACCATTATTTGTAGGCAGTTATTTGCAGGTCACGTGGTGGGCCCTCGACAAATGAAAAGGAAGAAACATTAGCAAGGAATGATGTGTCTCGCAGATCAATGATTTGCCTCAGCCTTCGGCTCCGGCAAATAACTGATCTGCTGGCCAATGACAATTCACGATATTTTGCTCAACCTCGTCCAGTAATTGTCAATTATCTCCATCCTTGACAAAGCTTTCGTTTATGTTCGACCTTATATATCTTTGATTTAACATCCAGAAGTTCACTGTAAGAAAGGCATTAGATTGTAACGTTTAAGTTTAAAGGAAGAGGCTTGTCTACACTGTATGCTTTATTGAAACTGTTCACGACAAGTGGTATTTGGATTAAAACGCCGTTGGACAACCTGAAAATGACTTAGAACGTGGTTTTGTTAAACCCTGGTTAAACTTCACTCAAGCTTCACTCACTTTTCTACCAAATTATATAATTTCCGTGCATATTTCCAGGCCAGATAAAGTAATGTCATTATCTGTTTACAAATGCTTAAGGTAAATCCTCTAGTCCCTGATATGAAAACATAGATTTTTTTTCGTACTTTCTCGGAGTCATACAACCACGTCCCCAGGGCTTTTCCCTTAAAAAATGGGTGGGGCGGGAAAAGGCCCTGGCATCGGCTGGTCACGTGCACAGCCTAAATATTCCTGAGAAGCTAATTTATATGCAACCCGCTGGTTTTGCGCTGACAGAAGTTGAACGGAGCAACAATGGAAAATAATAATATCGCGAACTGTATGTCAATATTTTCGCGTCTGTGCGATTCAAAAGCTTAAGATCCATTTAATTGCGTATTATTCAAATGCTACAAGTTTATGAAAGGGCGCACCGGCTCTACGTTGTCACGTACAAAATATGTCAAATGCTTCAGAGTTGAGACAAGCTGTTATCGAGTAGTACTTCGACTGAAATTTATCGTGACTGTGGAATTACTGTACGATCAAGCAGGAAGTGATCTTGTCCAATGTCAAACAAAAATGCGGGCCTTTGCCTCTAGGATCTGCAGTAACAAATTGAACTTAACTGAAATAGAATTGTTCATCAAAATACTTTATGGAGTCTGGTCTTCTCTACAGCCCTACCATGAAACAAACAAATCTCCGCGCCGGATGCAAGTCAGCCCTCCAGCCAGGAACGATGACAGGTCGCCGATCTGAAACATTTTAAGATCTCTTATATCTTTTCTCTTCCCAGGATAAGTACAAAGGATTTTCCTTATATCAAAGGGAAGATTGACCGATCGATTAGAATCAACTACAGCTCTGTCAATTTTAAATGGACCCATGTCATTCTTTGTTACCAGTCGTTTGATACCCTGGGTGCCAGAAACTTTTCATGCGCGGTTTCCGGTTTCGGTCAAGTCTCGCAGAGGTCAATGAATGTTTTAAAAATACAGGTCATACTAGATAAGTCTAAACCCGGGGTCTAAACTAACGCGTGTCGCTATGATATGGCTGAGAGTCAAGGTGAATAGAACTACTTGGTTGTGTACGGCGGTCCACTTAGCAAGAAATAAATAAGAGTCGCGAAAACGAACTTTTCCACGCCCCGTACAAACTTTATGCATGTACGATAGCTTGTTTGTCATTTATATCGCTCTATAAAGGAAGTTTTACAAATGTTACCGCTCGCTGTCTCCTTCATAGAAATCGGAGGAAAGCAAAAAATTACCATAGGCAGTATCTCTGACGAAAAAGAAATCTTGTAAAACTTTTCGTTAATCGTCAAGAGATATAAAAGGCCGCCCAAGATCGCGCGCTGTGAGGTTACGCATAATTTTAACTTTTCACATAGCGCTAATTTATTACACCCAGGATTTTAGGGTGTACGAGGGACACGTGACCAGCCGATGCCAGGGCCTTTTCCCGCCCCACCCACACCCATTTTTTAAGGGAAAAGCCCTGGGGACGAGGTTGGGAGTCATAGGGGCAACTAACTCTTTGGGACGTGGAATCGTCAGAGCAAAATTTTATATGCATGACCACAGGGTAACCACCCTCTGTTCGTGTGGCAGTTGTTGTTATTGAAATCAGAGCATCGATCTCTTGTACCACTACAATTTACTCCAACATACAGATTTGAAGCTAAATGTTTCAATAAAAGTCAAAGCCAAATGTTTACTTATTCATTTGTCATGGTATTTCGCCCTTCCAGAGCTGTTTAAAGCGTCATTTTGCGAGATGATTATTTTTACCGGCCGTTAGAAACAACTGCCACACGAACAGAGGCAGCGCGCCAGTGTCAAAATCTATTGGATTCCCCATTTCTGATTGGTCAGAAGATATTTTCTACCCAATCGAAAGCGGGATTTTGACATGCTTGGGGAACTGATGTCCGTGCAACATTTGCATTGTAGGAAGAAAAAAAGGATAAGTTGTCTGACAAATGCCTTGGGTAGATGGCCCCTAGTCGTCTCTATATATTAGGGAGCGTAAGCAACGACGACGGCGACGGCAACGAGAACGGCAAAAAATGCAAAAGGGTCAGATTGGAAAAACAACAAATCTGCACGTGCATCACGTTTGTTTGTACGTTGTCACTGCACGACTACACCGTGAGAATGCCTAATTTCACGTTTCGTGGAGAACGCACTTACTTTGTTTTTCTTTTCCTGAACTTCGATATTCGGCTCCAGACAAAAATGCCAACATTTGAACAACGAATTGAACGAGATGGAATAAGTGCAATAAAGTTTGAAGCCTTTTTAAATTCACTTTTTAAGTGACGTTTCTCGTAGCCGTCTCCGTCGTTGTTGCTTAAGCTCCCTATCAGTCTCCTCCGATCCTTTCCTGACCGAGTACAAATAATAAGAGACGTCTGGGGATAAAACAGGCATTAAACAGGGTTGGTAACGTGTCAGCGGTTATAAAAGACATTGTGCGTTCTACATAGTTTTGAAAGGAGTTGTAAAGTGGTTGTTTCGGCGACCATATTTTTGTTGCAAATAATACCTGGAAAGTGTTCCTCTCAACATGAAGGCTATCTAAGGAATAGTGTTTGCCGTAGGGCCGTCTTTAGGAATACTTTCCCAGTCATTAGGTCACTACCTAATTGTCAGGCCTATTTTTTTTGTATTTGTAGTCCCTCAGACAAAATGCCGCTTCCTAAAGAACTTTCGGATCCAAAATGCAACCCCAAAATGCTTCTGAAGAAGTATCTCACTGAAGATGTGTACAACTCGTTGAAAGACAAAAAAACCGCAAGCGGCTTTACACTGGGCGACCTGATTAATTCTGGATTGCAAAACTTGGATTCATCAAACGGAGTTTATGCTGGAGACGAAGAAAGTTACACTCTTTTCGCGGACTTACTTAACCCCATCATTGAGGAGTACCACAGTCCCTACAAGCTTGTAGATGGCCATACCCCGGACATGAACCCAGAGAAAGTGAACGCACCTGATTTGGATCCACAGGGACGGTTCATTCGATCCACTCGTATTCGCGTTGCTCGCAATCTGAAGGGTTACAATCTCACACCCAACATGACCAAACAAGAACGGATCGATCTCGAGAAAAAGATCGTGGACGTGTTGGAGTCATTGACGGGTGACCTCAAAGGTACGTACTATCCGCTTAGTGGAATGGACGAAGCAACAAGACAACAGCTGGTAAATGACCACTTCTTGTTTAAGAAGGGAGACCGTTTCCTGGAGTCAGCAGGTGTCAACAAGGAATGGCCAGAAGGACGAGGAATCTTCCACAACGTCAACAAGACTTTCTTGGTATGGGTCAATGAGGAAGACCAGTTGCGGATAATCAGTATGGAGATGGGGAGCGATATTCAGTCAGTTTTTAAGCGTCTTTGTGATGCAGTGAATGCCATCGACGCAAAGCTGGGTTTTCAAGAAACTAAACAGCATGGATACCTTTCGTCCTGCCCCACCAACCTGGGCACTGGTATGCGTGCCAGTGTGCACGTGAAGATCCCACATGCTAGTGAGCATCCAGACTTTAAGAAAATCTGCGATGAATTTCATATTCAGGTAAGAAATCGATATAGCTTTGTATGATCCTGTGTTAAGTGGGCGGGGTGGGGGGTGTTGGGGGGGAGGGCTTTCGTTACTAGGGACACGCCGGTCAGCTATTGGACAATTCTATTTATTTTCCCTGTCCCGAGTAACAGCCCCAGTCTAAAGTAGCGAATTCGTGGGATCTCTTGTTTAATGGTTCCTGCACATTCGTCAACTATTATGGTTAAACTTGCTATTACAGACAATAAAGAGACAAAATGAAGTGTCCTCAGTAGAAAATCACGTGCAATGTATAGGTAGGAGATGGAAAGGATCGTTAAGCTTTCGATATGAAAGTCAGTTTTTCTTAAAACTCCTCTCTAAAAAGAGCGCCTTCTACGGAATTTTCCCCTACAAATACACCAATAGCCCGTGTCAAGTTGTGTTATCCTCATATTGCCTATTGTTGTTTTAAGCCTCGTGGAATTCATGGAGAGCATTCCGAGTCTACTGGAGAAGATGCCGGAGTGTTTGACATCAGTAACCGAAGACGTTTGGGACTCTCTGAGGTGCAGTGTGTACAAGACATGTACAATGGAGTCAAGAAACTTCTGGAGATTGAAAAAGCCGCCATTGCGTACGTATTGACGGGTTTACAATTTAACCTTCTCTCTCGCTGTCTGTCTCTTTTTCATAGGAGTGATGAGTTAACGGCGTTCTATTTATTCGTTTTGTCAGCGAGAAACAACAAAAGTTTCCAGAGGGACTTAAGGGACCTGAGGTGACCTCCCGCTTGAAAAAATACCTCACTGAAGATCTCTTCAACGAGCTCAAAGACAAGAAAACAGCTAGGGATTGTGGCATCTGGGAGCAGATTAACTCTGGTGTGGTACACCTTGACTCCGCAAATGGCGTTTATGCCTCTGAAGAAGAAGCTTACACCCTGTTTGGAAAATTGTTTGATCCAATCATTGAAGATTACCATGCCCCGTACAAACTGGCTGATAAACACACTTCGGATATGGATCCAGAGAAGGTTGACGCTCCTAATTTGGACGAGGCTGGCGAGTTCATCCGATCTACTCGGATTCGTGTGGCTCGTAATCTTAAGGGACACGGATTGCCACCAAGTTTGAATAATAAGGAGAGAATTGAGGTGGAGCAGAAGGTACAGTTATAGTCACAGCCACTGATAAGCACTAAAATAATTAACCCTTCTACAGCAAATTCCATTTTTTTTAATCGTGAAAAAAATGAATAGCACTATCCAAAAGTTCTGACAAAGAGAATTCATTTGAATGATATTAACTTAAATTTTCATCTACCGAAACACAAGTCAGAATGAAAACCTTCTAACAGTGACTTGCCCGAATACTTTTACTTTTGTTCTCAATCCCTGATCCTCTTTTGTTGGAATAGACCTCTTCCCAATGAAGGTCCTAAAAACGTTTGACCCTTTGGCCTTTCATAAATTGTACGTAGATATGTACAAGAATAAGACGAAATGTGAATAAAACATTTCGTTATAGTATTACTACATGACCTACATTGGGGAAAATAAAACATGCTAGCTGAAAAAGTCTATTTAACTTCCAACCTGACGTTCGTGGGTTCAAGTAAAGGCCGGATTGAGTCATAGTGCACCACCCTGAATAGTATTCCTATGACTAACAGCATTTCAGGAATATGCTACTCGTTTCCATTCCTTTTGGTATCTCCATATTGTACATTGAGTCTTACAGCTTAATAATTTTACAGTAACGACTAGCCGGTTAACAAACAACCAAAGAAAGACTGATGATCATTTTATTATAATATTTTGGTCCAGTTTTGAATCCATAATTGCCTCCTAAAGTCTCCCTGCAGCCGTTTTTGTCTCGTCACCCAGTTACGCTGCACCCCCCGCCCCCAAAACAGGGAGCGTAAGATGACGAGACTAAAAACGCTGCGTTGGGGACTACCTAGTATGCTTTTATTATGAACTTTGCGTGAGGTTCTAGTTAAGGCCGCCGTATTGGAATATTGCTTTTTTTTATTCGTTTCTGTAATGATATATGAACGAGAAGTCTCTATTTCCGGAAAATTCTAGATTCTTCCCTTTTTTCTAGTATATGCATTGGTATTTAAAGGATATTGAAGCTCACTCAGGATATTCTAACTTTGTATTTGGAGAGCCTTCTTGAATCAGTAAGAAAACGGTGTGCAAAAGTGGCCCCTCTTCTAAAGATAATCTAAACAGTTCAGCAGCCAATGGATGTGCGTTGAGGGCACACGTCCAATAACTGTACCCAAGTGTAATAGAGGCCCCATCTGTAACAACATAAAAGATTATGCTGTATCCGCCCACCTGCCTATGCAGTATAACAATATCTAGCTCCTAATATCTCTCCTTAACAAGTCTCAGATTGCCTCTTTCTGTACATCCTGCAGAAGAGTGGTTTTTAACGATCTCTATATTTTCTTCATCTTTGGAATCCACGCACCTTGGGCGGATCTCTTGAAATAGCCAAAATAGTTTCTTTGCCCTGAGTGTTACGAAACGCAATCATGCTCTCCTCTTTTTTATGTTTTCTCGTAGATTGTCGGCGTTTTGATGTCACTGACCGGAGACCTGGCTGGCACGTACTATCCCCTCTCTGGGATGAGCGAGGAGACTCGCAATAAACTTGTCGAGGACCATTTTCTCTTTAAGAAAGGTGACCGCTTCCTTGAGGCCGCGGGTATCAACAAAATGTGGCCGCAAGGACGTGGAATCTACCACAATGCTGACAAAACCTTCTTAGTGTGGGTAAACGAGGAAGATCAGTTGAGAATTATCAGCATGGAGAAAGGTGATATTGTATTACTGTAAAAGGCCGCGTATTATTTAGACGGTGTGTGTGTGCGGATGACTAGTTTAAAAGGGGCTGTCCCCGGGGGGTACTCCCTATTATAGACTATACGGGGAGGCTCCGCCCGAAAAGATTATCTTTTTCAGGCTTCAGAAAGGGTAGGGATTTCACTAGTTGAAGTATAAAAAAGCGGGATAGGGAATCGAAATCGGTCATTTGGGCCCGAAAGGGCTAACAGATTAATTTTATGGCTTTATAAAGTCGAGAAAAGGTTCTATTCTTGTGATTGATTCCTATTAAAAAAACATTGCATTTAAAACAGTTAAAAGGGATGCAATTTCTAAACAAGTTATGTGAAAGGGGTACCATTTGTGCTCATAAAATGGTAAGGGGTTGGACCTCGGGGGGAGCCTCCCCGTATAAACATTTGTTGAGTACCCCCGTTGGGCTATGTCACGCTATTTGCTATCTTTTTGAAAAGCTATACCGTGTCTTTATATCTATTGAATTCCAAAAATGATGCGCCAGTTGTGTTATTCAAGACTATATTAACTGTCTCCTGTCGTCTGTTACCGGTACAGATGCTAAGGATGGACATGGATTGAAAATTGAAAAAGTTGGGTGAACGCTTTGAAGTTTCAATAGAGTTTGCCTGCCATCACCCAAAAAATAATGGTTATTTCTCCCTGATGGAAGCGGTTTAATATCTCCTTCATAACTCTTCAGGATCTCGGTGTTTTGCATTGTTAAAGGAACTAAGTAATAACTTCGGCACAAAAGTGACCTAAAACAACAATTTCCTCGTGACCTAGCTTTAAAGCAAGACACGCCATTTTCTTACCTCCTAACCTGCATGGCAGCCGTTCCAAAGGGATCCGGGAGTGGGGGGGAGGGGTTAAAGGAAAAACCAACACTTATTACCTCCTGACCCTCGCCTTTGTGATGAATGTCTTTAGCTAACCCATCTCCACCCCCACCCCTCTCTTCAGTGTCTACTTTGGCTATGTTCACACTATACTGGATAACTTGGATCAATTTAGGTGTCTGGGAATCTGCCCACCTACCCCTCCCCTAAGCAAACATTATCACTTACTTCTCACTTAGGGCAAAATGTTGGCTTAGGGGAGGGGTACCAAAAACCTAAATTGATTCGATAACGTTAGCGTCGGCACGAAAACAATACCGGATGGGGCTTCTGTTCACACACAAGAACGGTGATTTCGGTGCGATTTCTGTGTCAGGAGCTGCAAAGCAGCAGCACCTCTCCGATCTCTGATATTAAAACTACAAGTCACATTTAAAAAGCGATCGAGTTTTAAAACGGCATTCAAAGGACACAGCATCATAATGTATTTAAATCATACTTCTACTTAAGACGTGATAAATACACAAAACCAGTGTCAGATCTGGATATATTTAAAGGCTTCGTGCTGTGTACAGCTGAACATTGTTCTCTGAGATCGCGTGAACCTTAAATTACGGAGATATTAAAAGCAGATACCCTAATATTACAGCAGCTATGGAAAAATTATTATATTTTTGAGTAGACATATCTCATAGACGGGCTACAAATTCAACAGGAATACGCGCGAACTGAATAAATTGTCTGTTGTACATTTGAAAGGTTCTGCTCAACTTGCACAATTTTCCTTTGCTGAACATAAACTGTAGCGAGCCTTATCTTGGTCCGCTAAATAGAAACTATATCATCGTTCAAATTTTAAGGTGTAAGATCCCTGAAAGAGTTCTCCTCAATGGAGCAATATGTAAAAAGTTTTCAAAGGTTTTACGCCGGTGAAGATGTGCGGCCTGTCACCTCTTGCAAGTTTTTACGTGAAGTGTCACATATCGGATGGGTTTTGTGCCACACCTTGGCGCAGTGTAAACACCTATTCGGACCGTCGCGGAAGTAATTATGTAGGAGCGAGGACTGGAACCCACTAAGACGCAAGTAAATATTCAGGAGTGACGATTGGAAACTGTACATGTCATTTAGTGCACCAAGCCCACTCGGCCAATCGCGCCAGCACGATGTGTGATGTGTATGAAGTTGTGCCGCCTCGGGCCGTTGCTGTTCATACTATACCGGATACTGTGGATATAGCATTAGACCTTTCGAACTCACCTCTTTTCACAGTCAGGGCTCCATGGCTCCATGTCTCACCGACAAAACCAAAATGTACAAATTTATTAGGCCTTGTTCTTTTAACTTGCGTAAACTTTAGTGACCCACTCCCCACTTGCTAACGCCCCTCCCCCCCCTTTCCCCCTTCGTCTTTTAAAAGTCTTATAGAGAGCTGTCCTAACTAAATTTCCTTCGCTTACGGCCAACAACGATCGTGTTCACATTTAGAATACTTGCTAATGTAACAAACTACCCAACTCGTTCTTTTCCAGGAAGTGATATAGGATCTGTGTTCAAGAGATTGTGTTTAGCGGTCAATGAGTTGGACAAGCAACTTGGTTTCCAGCACGATGAATCCCGAGGTTATCTGTCCTCTTGCCCCACCAACCTGGGCACTGGTATGCGTGCCAGTGTGCACGTTAAGATCCCGAATGCTAGTGAGCATCCGGACTTTAAGAAGATCTGCGACGAATATCATATTCAGGTATCCATGCAGACTCAATTATCATAAACACCTTTAAACTTGTTCAAGTCAACGTTTTTGGGGGAAGGCCCCGTCCACACTAATGCGTTTTGAAAACGCGTACATTTCGATGCGTTTAGGCCTTCCGTCTACACTAATACGCTGAGTGTTTTCATTGAAAGCGCATTAATTTGAAATACGCTCTTGAAGGTGGATCAAAACGAAAACGCATACAGATTTTATTAGTTTGGACATGGTTATTAAAGTGGAATGGTTAGAAAACCCGTAAGACTTCGTTGTTATATGTTTTTGTTAGATATTTTGGACCTGACCGTGCACAACGTTCGATAGCATTCCTATCATTTTGAATTTACTGACTAATAGAAACATTGCATTAATTTATTCAGTCACAGAAACAAAGGATTGTGCACGGTCAGGGACCTTCCAACATAAACTACAGAACCGTTGTTTTCAACTTTGATGTTTGCCGGCTTTCATAACCAGTCTCCTCCACTAACTATGGTGTGGACGGTCAAAAACGACCAAAAACGAATCAAAATGAGAACGATGACCGAAAATGTCGCAGACGCGTGTGTTTATAGCATACAGATAGGGTTTAAATTACGTCACAACGTGCAATTCTATCTTTATCGAACGTTTACAAACTGAAAGTATGGACCGTCGAAAATGCATCAAAACGGTAGTGTGGACGCGAATCGATCAGATCCATGCGTTTTTGATAACAGCGAAAGCGCATACTTCTGTTTTTCTGCCTTGTTTCGTCCCTTTAGGCTCGTGGAATTCATGGGGAACATTCCGTATCTACTGGAGAAGATGCCGGAGTGTATGACATCAGTAACCGAAGGCGTTTGGGACTCTCTGAGGTGCAGTGTGTGCAAGACATGTACAATGGAGTCAAGAAACTTCTGGAGATTGAAAAAGAAGCGCTGGCCTCCAAAACATAAATGATGATGAAGCTGGAGCCTGTGGACGTCAGAAATACGTCCTTACGGCCACGGAACTTCATGTATTTCAGAACGTGTGATTTCCTTATTAATATTCATTATAAAAACGAGGTGTGCTTTGAAATGTAAATTTTAGGTTATTTTCTTTCAAATGATTGCCAGATGCAAGGGTTTATTGGTTTATTTTGTTGGATAAACCGGCTTGAGAATCGATCAGAATAATGTTTGTGAGTAGTTGCTCGGTACAGAGACGAGCACTAAGTGATATGGCTCGTTTACTTCAATTTCATAATCTGTACCATCCTCGTCCATAGTCCAGGGTTTTCCTCGATTGTGTAGATGTGTCTGGATAAATACTTTTTGCTTACATGGTGTGCGCGAAGTATTTGTTAGGGGTCAACAAAAGGAATGAGTACAATTTAGGAAGCTGCCATTGATTGTTACTGCAGTATTGCCATAGCAATTTCTTTATTACGTGTGTGCAAGCAAATAAATGTTTGAAACATGAATTGCTATAATTCTGAACGTACTTTCTGACCATAGAGAGGCGAAGTGTGACGTTGTGTTATCATGCTAGCAAAATTTCTTGATCACAACAATAGAGAGCTTAAGCAACGACGACGGCGACGGCAACGAGAACGGCAAAAAGGAAGTATGTTTATATTAGCAAAACAACAACTTTGCACGTACATCACGTTTTTTTGTACATTTCTTAGTAGTCACTTCACGACATGCGACATGAAACTTCCTAATTTTACGCGCCCACCAGAGCTTTATGGAGCAGGTGGACACAACACAAAAATTTTTGTCTTTTTCTTTTTTAAAACTTACGGTCCCTTCTGATCCAAGCCCAGACAATATCGCCATCATTTCGCAAATAAGATGGAATTGAATAAGACTGGTTAAGTCTTAAACACTGCGAATTCCCGATATAAGTGACTTTTCGGTCTTTTTGTCATCCAGAAATTTGTTACCAAGACAACGTGAGGTAGCGACTTCTTCTCTCTACTTTAACCATACTCTGATAGGACTCAAAGATGTGGTAGTCCAAAGAAGGAATCTATGTGTTGCCGAGTGACAACCTAATATCCCTGCTGTGGTTGTTATAGATGGCGAACGACATTGGATATTTCCCGAGATCCCCGTCCCTCCTTACAGGAGCGAAGATGGATAGCAGCCTAAGAACAGTTGCCATCTTTCCTAAATCACTTATTTTTGGTTTATCCACGCTACCCAAGCATAGGTTAGGCAGTTGGCGGAAAGAAAAAATGCTCCCCTTTCTCCTTTGGGGAGTCTTATAACGAAGGGTGGGTAAGAGTTTCCAAACAACGAAGGAGTTCGGTGTACAAACTCGTTCCCAGGGTTCTCTCTCTTCCTTCCTTGAGAGAGAGTCCTGGGAACGAGGCTATTTTGTCTAGAAAGGAGAAGTCGTTACGTCCTGTTGCCATGGTATCTGTATCTCGACAAACGGTGGTCTGGCAAATATGGCAGAAAAAGACGACTTTCCTGTGCATGATTCCACGCAGGAACAAAACGGTAGCCCATACTCTTCTTCCACCGTTCGACAATGCAAATAGAGAAATGCTGAGATTCAGAAATCATTCTACCATGTTAACCTGACGTCACAATTCTCTCTATTCCGGTCCAGTTGGCACACGCAGTAACGAAACGAGATCTGGAAGCTGGGGTGGAAAGATTTATACAAATCACTGTATGTTGTAACTGCTAGCCTAGATTCGGTGCTTTTGTTTACATTCGCACTGTCTTGGTACACCTTGTGCCCTCCTCAACCCACCTCGACTCCCTCTCCCCTCCCCTCCCCTCCCCCCTTAATTCATAAGCAAAATCTCTTCATTTTATGGGGACGACTGTGATAACCAGGTAACGTCATTTTCGAGGTCTAAAAACCCTCACTTTCTTGTGATAATAAGTTTCATTTGCATGAGAATAAAAATTCCTTTTCCTACCCTAGTGGTTTTGTGATTGGCTTTGCCGCGAAACAGGGGCTTGGGACAACTCTGAAATGGTTGTTCAAAATTTAAGGGAGCACCAAGGTGTATTATGGAAAACTCGAATGCGGGGTGAACCATTAGACCTTTCAAGATGAAACAGTCTTACAGCACTTTGAAGGCGAGGCTTTTATTCTTCTGCTGGCTAATAACGGCTGGTTTATACAATTGAAGTTAGCTGATAAAAGCTGATAAATATTTCGCCATCTTCGATACAATAATAGATAAGTTCTGTCAAACAGATGATTGTAACATTAACGGCGCAGGAACGAAACAAGCGACATGTTTTCGTCTGAACAGTCACCACCAGTGCAATGAATGCTACATGTAACATTACCGAGTCTTGGGTCATTAACGATGGCTCGCGTAGGATTATAGCATGACTCCCGCCGGAATTTATAGAACGTTTTGGTAGCGCAATGTTCGAAGTAGTACCTGCCTCTTTTGGTTGTAACGGTTTGATGAAGCATGCAGAGGACTTCGTTTTTTGCACATGGACGTGATTTTGCCGTCTCAAGGCAGTCTTTCAAACTCTCACGGCTAAAGCAAGATTTGCATCTTAGAGTCTCTCCTAAAAAAAGGACAAGGGTTGTATGTAAGCATGTACTTAATGATATTGTTATATCCTTTTTTACAGAACAGCGATGTATAAGCGCTATATAAATTCCATTATTATTATTATTATTATTATTATTATTATTATTAAAATTGAAACACGGGACTGTAAATAGTAGTAATATGAAAGCAAAAAAGGAGGATTTACGCAAATGTAAAGCAAAGGCAAAACCTACACTGACAAGGCGTGAAAGATGTAGTAGGGGTTCTTGCAATTTTCGATGCCAGTTATAATTTTCATTATTGTTGCATGTAGTTCCCTAATATACTTACGACAATGGCTTACACAACATGAAAGAGCATGCGAAACAGATGTTGCTTTGAATATAATTTAATATATAATATAATCTCTGTCGACGTATTTTCCTTTACTGACACAAATAAAAAGAAGAAAGGACAATGAACAGTTAACTCTGTTTAGTAGGAAAAATTTAGTTTTCAGACGCTGGTCTACAGTATACCGGCACTGACAGCTTGTTGCCCTCCTCTTTCCATATCGTCCGCCTCATTCAGGGACATACTTATAGAACGCATTTAACAACATCTTTAACAACAACGATAATTTAATTAGGCACTTATCCTGATCAAAAGAAACAAAATTTCATCCCTGCCTGGAAAGAGGACGAGCGAACGTGAGGGAAACTCGGAGGAAAGGCTTAGGTAACCGTCCTTTCTCTAGCTGGTGAAAGTCAAGTGAACGTTTTTCAAAATACGCATGTAAAGGAAGATTAACCAGCAGGGCCGTGTTTTTCAAAGCTGGGTTAAGATAACCCAGGGTTAGTGCGATATTTGAATTCAGATATGAAAGCTTAGAAAGCATTTCAGTTTTAATTCTTTTTGTCTACAAGTTGATGATTGGAAGCTCTAAAAATAGCACAGAAAATTATCCGAGAAAATGCTTTTGAAAACAAGAAAAAGAAACCTGGGTTAAATTTAACCTTGGGTGAAGCGCTAATCGGCCTTCGAACAACTGGGACGGATGTTTCAAGTGTAGAGAGTGCTCTCTCTCCGTTATTGCTTTAAAATCACTTAACCAAAAAGCTTTTAAACCACGGAAGAAGACGGAGGACGCTCCACGAAATGTCTGGTTTTCCTTTCAACGCGCATTTTGAAAAATTTTAACAATTTCACGATTAATTCTTATATATAAGTTTTGTATCAGCTTACATTGTTTTCTCTCTTTGTCTCTCAGTGGCGCGCGCTCCTCACATACGCACAGGCCCGATTTTCCTAATTTCCTGTCTGTTTCTAATATACTTAACCTCGCATATCATCGTGAAAAGCGCCCTTACCTTCATATATGTAAACCAGCAACAGCACGAACACCAGAAATTTGATCATTCTTTAGGCCTGTAAAGAAGAGTAAAAAGAAGCATGTGTGAAGTGTAGACTGATTGAGCTATGATCTGGAATTTTACCCATATCTTAAATGCCTTAGGTACAAAAAACTTGCAAGTGCTTTATTAGTACAAATTTTATGCGATCAGCTCTCTTTGAAATTCTCTAAAAATGTCAGGTTACTAACCAAAAGCTCTTGATTTTGAAAGTGCTGGTAGATCTTAATTATTTGATGTGCTTGAAGCCTGTCAATTTATGCAGAATTTTTGAACAGTTTACTGTCGCGGAAAATTGAGTTAAAAATTAAAAAACAAACACAAATATGAGAAAAGAATACTGAGATCTAAAAACTGCACATTACAGACTGTTGTTACCTTTGAATATACACGTCCTATGATTGAACACTCGTCTGAAATACCTAACAAGGCGGCTGCTATATCTTTGAGTAACCCGCTGTATAAAGCAGAGCGCAAAGTAACAGAGTAAGCGTTAAAAAGTTATATCTTATATATTTAACCCCCTACTCTTCAGCTATTTAACAGCTATCAATCAATCATCACTAAAACGGTTGAAGACTAACCTTTCATCCGACCTATAAACGAGTAAGAGTTGTTTTACAAGGAATTAGCTATTTATAAACTTAAGCAAAACTGCATTCTGAGGGATATTTTGGAAAACACGTACGTACTGGGCAAGAGTGGAAAGGTCAGTCCTTACTGCTGCACGTGTTTTTAGGCCTAGGAGAATGTCTTCTTCCTCGCAAAATTTTGTTGCCCGGTGCGTATGACGTCATTAGCTGAAATGGGCGGCTTAGTGACACCAAAACGCTTGAAAAAGCGGAATATTTAGTGTTTTGTGGTTGCATATGCTGAAGAACCACCTCACATGTGATCTAAACACCCCATGAAACAGTTTCCCCGAAAAGGACACTGGGAAGTGAAAGAGGATTGATATGACGTATTTTAGATGCATACAGGAACGGATCATTTTCAATTTGCGGAAACTCGCCATACGTTCCGGTAACAGTTAAACAAGCAT